CTTGCAACCTTAATACTTAAACTATGAAAAAAATATCTGAGTCCAAAACGTTTTTCTTCTGGGTSTCAGGAGATTAAATCCAAAAGTTCACTTCACATGAACAAGGCGTGTGCCGAGCGTGACTCGGTGCCCAGGCTTTTACTCTGAAAGGCACGACCGGATGTGACCGGTSCTGCCAGCCTGACGCCGTTAGGCAGCAGGGGAGGCGGCGGTTGTGAACAGAATGACTGGAGGATTTCTCTGCGGACTCTCCAGGCTCCAGAGGCTGAAACAGGTTCRGAAAAGTTCCAGTCGACGCTGTTAGCGGCGCGCGGAGAGCCCATTTTCAGGGTGAGTTACCCGTGCTCTTTACGTGACGCTCGTGGCGGAGGGACGCTATTGGCTTCTGTCGGGACTCACAGTTTGTTGCCATGCACGCGCTGCTGCAGAGCGAGCGGAGGGGCTGCTCCATTCAACCTGCGGTGCTTTTGTCCCCCCCACATCACCATCGTGAAGCCTCTGGAAACTGCCACGGAAATGTGTCCTTTTTGTGTGGGGATAATTAGCTCAAACGGAATACGTAACGTGACGTTTTAGAAATGATGCCAGGTGGTTAATTAAACCCTCCACGTGACTGCGTCCTGATTAGTCCTCGCTGATTGTCTCTTCCTCCCCTCAGAGAGCAGGGGTCTCTGCTCTGTCCACGCTCGTGGGAATCCTTGGTGACCTCTTTGTTGTCACGGATTAAAACTCCTTTGTGTTGCGTTTCTGCGGGCTGTTTGTGACAGGAAGGGGACCCTGCCCCCCCACCGCCCGCCCCAGGCCCACTCAGCCCAAAACATAAAGCAAACGGTACCTGTTTGTGTTTGTTGTTGTTCCGCGTTTATTTGAATAAGCCTCAAAGGTGAAACAATGTGGCAGCACATGGATGCAGCTGCTGGGTCACATCTGTTTCCATGACAGCAGCCTGGTGTCAGCACGTTCTCCTGCTCGACCCTGCAGATGTTTGTTGACAAAAGTCAAGTGTGTTTTTTTGTGTGTTTGTATTATTTGTATTTCTTGATTCACAACATTATGTGACAGTAGAGCAGTGCAGAGCCCTCAGGTGATGTTTCACCACTACGTTCATGACTACCAAGCCCCTCCCCTTTGTTGCCCCCACATGATAAATAAAGCCCACTGTAGACAGACAGTAGTTGCGCAACATCCCTTTTTAAAATCCCACCCAGAGCAACAAGTTGCCTGGCACGCTCCGCTTCGACTTCACTGTTCTCTGACAGCGACAGATTCCTTTCTACCAAGAAATGTTCTCGCTTGGAACATCTGGCAGAACTCTCAAATTGCAGAGCAGCTGGGACAGATGAGGCCGAGCTGGAAGTGTTTTTCCTGCAGTGTTTTTGAGGAAACACTAGTGACTCACTGTAGTGGAGTTGTGGTCTCCTGCTGAGGTGAGCGATGTCATGGGGTAAATATGTTGGAACTCGTCCATAATAATAGTAACAATAATACTAAAACACAAGAGASGGGCTGTCTGAAAAGCTCCAGTTTTCTCTCATCGGCCCCATAAAGTTTAAAGGGGCAATATTATGTGTTTCCTCAGGTATATGTTTAAATTCTGAACCATAAGAACAGTAACTATGTCACCTTCAGTTATAATTAAAATGTTGTTTATATATTTAAATAGAAAATAAACGACTTCTCGTCTGTTTTGAAACGTTTTGAAATTTGCCTCTGTCTCTTTGAGAACCTCCTTCCGCTTCTGTCCCACCCATTTCAGCAGGGTGGATGTTGTGGCTGCCCAATCTGTACCGGAAGCATGATTCGTACTGTCCCAGAAACATTGGGCCTCATGCAAGAACATGTTCGTATTCTTATTCTAAATTTCTCTTACTTTTGTTCGTACAAAGGGTTCGTAC